GGTGTGGTCTGGGGCTGAAAACAGTCCAAGTAAAAACAATATAAAATACTCCGTATATTACTTTTTAATGTCCCAAAGCTCAGAACCAAAATTACTTTTTCATTTGCCACATGATCTTAAATTTCAGAAATAAAAAACACCTACATTTAGCATTATAGATACACATATATACATTGTGCGTATACAAAAATGCATAGCTTAACATTTATACATATTTATTTATATAAAATCTTTAGCTCATATAAGAAAAATATTACACTTCATCAGATTTAGCATTCTATATAATTCTATATGATGTTTTCCCTCTTCGCTAATTATTATTATATCCTTTAGAGCACAACATAAGAGCATTCCATTCATAATCTTAAAATAAATGATTTTTCTGTTACATATCTTTGACACATTACATTTATTCAATAAATTTTAAATAATCTCAAATCTTAAAAGTCTTCATCAACCATGATACTCCAAATAAATAGTTTTTCTAATCATGCATTAAATGCAATTTAACTACAACCTAAAATAATTCGGGATCCAAATCTTGATACCGGGTTTTCTTTTTCAATAATCTTCCTAAATAATCTTTAACTCACAACGACAATCCTTCAAGTATATTTCCACATCATCCAATTAGACCTTAAATCATCAAATGGATGGGGATGCCCTAATAGATCTGGACCAGATTTCATCTAGATGCTACTGGAATTGTTAATGTAAGGCAGAAAATTAAGTATATAAACAGAGTTTATGAGGGTGTGAATTGAACCATTTTGTTGCTATTTATATAAGCAATTAAATTATTCAGGTTTTAGAAACTTAAAATTGCTTCAATGGTACTATTTTTGGACAAAACTTGGACAAAATTGCTTATTCAAGGTACTATTTAATGGTACAATTCAAGGATAAAATTGCTTCAATGGGACGAATATGAATTATTTAGATTTTAACCACCTAAAGTAGCTGCACTTGCTTTTTTATTGTTTAGGTGTAATTACCTATATGTACATAGCCCATACAACATATATACTCGGTATTACGTATAAGGCAATTTTTTTATGGTTCATATAAGCAATTTGAAAAGTTGACATATATAATCCAGTCAAACCATAATGCATTTATACGCACAATGTATATATGTCAACTTCAAAAGGGGACAAAAATAAATGTTGGGTGTCTCTTAGTTCTTTCCAAAAACCATTGAGCAATATAATACGTAGCACTTTTTTTTATTTGGTGAACGGAAATTTCCATAGCAGGTTAACGAATCTAATATATTGATTGCACATTTACTTGCACTTTATTTTGATTTTTAGTTAATTTATTGAATATTTTTTATAGTAGGTTGACATATATCCTAATATATCTCAAGTTGCATATTAATATACACGTATTTTGTTTGATAAAAATTTGTTTATAATAAAGAAAGAATGACTAAAAGAAGACTATCAAGCCCCATATAGACAAAAATCTGGGCCGATGGGATTTTAGACATAAAAGTGATTTAAAGAAGAGTAAAAGGTCTCAAATAACCCTGCTCTCAACCCTAAATTCAATCTCCTCAACTTCCCCATTTCACATCCGATGAATACCGCAGCTCTAGCCATATATGGCGAGTTTCGTCCAACGAATATGGGCATATGGCGACCAGATTTGTTACGAAGATGGAGACCAAACCTCATTCCAGCCAACCCTCATCTTCATCTGCATCAACTCTTCGATCGACGGCGGCTCCTATGAAGAGAGACGGAGGCGGCGACTACGAAGAGCAATGACGGCGGCGGCTAAACCTGCCACTGGAACTCCTCTCCTCCTCTCTTTCTCTTCTCTTCCTTTCTCTTTGTCCGGAAACCGCCGTCGTTCGCTCCGTTGTCGTTCCCTCCTGCGGCGGCGATGAGCTTCGTAGATCCAGCGAGGAACTTCTAATCCGGCAGCTCCGGCAACTCCGGCGACGTGCTTCGTCGGATTTGGAAGCCACTGACGACTTTGGTGGCCACGACAGATCTAGATCTCTGGTTTTGTGGGGCTTGTTATGCTAGAGCGGGGCAGGGGGTTGTGGCGGGGCAGTTGTAGTCGCGGCGGTTTGTGGCCATCGGGTCTGACAAAAGTCATTGCTGCTGTTGCCGGCGTCGGCGGCGGTCACTATCACTGTAACTGTAATTGGCCGCCGGAGGTGGTCACTATAACTGGCCGCCGGAGGTGGTCACTATAACTGGCCGCCGGAGGTGGTCACTGTAACTGGCCGCCAGAGGTGGTCACTGTAACTGGCCGCCGGAGGTTGTCACTATAACTGGCCGCCGGAGGTTGTCACTATAACTGGCCGCCAGAGGTTGTCACTGTAACTGGCCGCCAGAGGTTGTCACTGTAACTGGCCGCCAGAGGTTGTCACTGTAACTGGCCGCCGGAGGCGGTCACTGTAACTGGCCGCCGGAGGCGGTCACTGTAACTGGCCGCCGGAGATGGTCACTGTAATAGCCACCGGTGTTGGTCACCGGCAATCAAGTCAGGGAAGGGAACGCTTGTTGTTAATGAAAGGGTAAAAAAGACACGGTAATAACATTTCTGGAAAAATTTAAACCTAGTCTTATTTTTGTCCCTGACTTTTCATTTAGTATTATTTTTGACAAAACCCCTATAATAAATGCTTCATTATTATATTTCATTTCCTTGCATGCATCTACACTCTACGGTTTCTCCCTTGGGCAGCTTTTTTTTAGGTTCAACATTAATTTCCAATTATGTCTTTTATTTAGGCGGGAATTTTCCCTCCAATATTGATAGCAAGACTGTTACTTTATATTATATAAAGATAAATGTTTATATGTTTATGTATCTTTTTACAAGTAAATACGTTTAGCCCAACTAAAAAAGTAAATATGTTTAGTTGTTTCTTTATTGAAAAAATTCCATTAATATTACTCTTTACAATGTGATGGACAAAAATATTACTTAGTAAGTATTAGTAAGTATATTAATGTTCAAATTTACATCTTAGTGACTACATGTAAGTTACTATGATGTAAAGTTTAAACATTACTATTTTTTTGAATAAAGTTTAAACATAACTATAGTCACTAATACTTGCTAAGAGCAATATTTTTGTTCACAACTTTTTATTAGTAACATTTAAGGAAAACTCCTTTATTTTTACAACTGCAATTTATATGTTCCTTCACTTTTGAAATAGCTTCCTAATCCAAATTAGGAAATCTTCATACATTTAGGAAGTTTTTAATTGGACCAATTTAATTCTCAGACAAGATCGGATTAAACATAAATCACAATAATAATAATAATAGTAATTATTATTATTATTATTATTATTGTTGTTGTTGTTGTTATTGTTAAAGTTATACATACATAAAATAGACATCTCCCGCATTGTATTACTCCAGACCAAATTAAAACTGATAATGTCAACCTAATTAAAAATATCCTTATTAATGACGTTTTCAATGTGACGAATTAAATGAGTAAATTGTAAAAATGATCCATTTTTTTAGATTTTCAATGTGACGAAATAATGAATAAAATGTAAGATCTTACTAATAAAATTTACAAATACTTATTTCATACCAAGTTGAATGAGAAATATTTTAAAAAAATAGTTTTTTGAGATTCTTAATGAAGTAATATAAAGGATGTGAAATTAATTAAAAACCTTTTGTGTGAATTCTTTAAAATCAAGTTCATAACAATTATGTTTAGTTGAGATGCTTATACGTAGAAGTCTATTTTAAATATTTTTCCTATAAAATTTAATTTAATTTATTAATTATATATGTAATACGTAGTACTCCATATAAGTTAGATTTAATTCATTACGATAGAGTCAGACAATTCGACCAATTTTAGTATTATCAAATGGCTTTATATGAGACCGAGTTTATTTTACTTTTGCATCACATTAAATTATATATGATTATGAAAGTATCAAATTTATAATTAGCTAAATTATATACTGCCCGTGCATCGCACGGGCTTGAATTGTCTTATTCTACTGTAATGAATTAAATCTAACTGATTAGACTGAATTAATGTAATCTCCCGAATTATGCAAAAAAAAAAAATATACTACATATATCATTAATAAAATAAAATAAAATAAAAATTATATATATATATTTTTTAAAATGGACTTCTACATAAGCATCCCAACTAATTAAACATAATTGTTATGAACCCGATTTTATAGAATTCACAAAAAAGTTTTTTAATTTATCTCACATACTTTAAATTACTTTATCAAGCATCTCAAAACACTATTTTTTTTATTATTATTATTTCTCATTCAACATGGTATGAAATAAGTATTTTTAAGTTTTAACATTTTACTCATTATTTCGTCATATTGAAAATGTAAAAAATGGATCATTACTCAATGCAAAAAAGTTATTTTACAAAAATAAAATACTAAACTTTAGTATTATCAAACGACTTTATATTACACCAAGTGTATAAAATAACTTTGAAGAACAATATTAATAGGAATTTGGTTGGTTTATCTGTTAGGTGGGGAAAACACGGATAATTTATTTTTTCAATAGAATAGTAAGGATAATGAATAATATAGAAAAAGTAGGAGAGAAAGTGAAAAAAGTAGGAAATAGATGATAAAAAGTAGAAAATGTAAGGGTAATTGAGTATATTTAAAGGAAGAACTTACCCAAAAGGGAAAGTGTAGGAACTTTTAAATACATCCCAAAAAGGAAAGTGTAGGAAACTTTTAAATACGGAGGGAGTAATTGATACATACTCCGTAATAAGTTCTCAAAAATTACCAAATAAGGTGGATTCTATCTCATTTGTTTCCATATCAATATGCAATAAAAAATAGAATGTGATAAAAAATAGAAGGTATAAAAAGTTATTTAAATACTACATAATTATTATATATGATGACATGGCAGAATTATGTGACGCGCCGTATGCTCTTAAAAAGTTCCTCTTTTATATATATATATATATATATATATATATATATATATATATATATTGATTATGCTAATTTCATAACACATTGAAGTTTCGATTTGGTATGTTGTCCTAACCTATATACAAATAATAATATAAAAAATAATATGAATGATTTGTAAACTAAGAGAGAGCAAGAGAAAGTTTAACTGTACAAAAAACAAGAGATAACATTGTTGCAAATCTACTCTTCCCTTGATCCTAAGGCATCTGCAATACTGAAATTCAAATTGCTTCTCGAAACAATTCCTCTGTTTCCCTTTCTCATCATTGTTGCAAATTCCCCATAGTCAATTCGTCCGTCCTATACCATTACAAACCCAAGCTTAGCTTTAACTCCAAGCAATAAAAAAAAAGTCATGACAATCAAACAGATGTTGAACACTTGAACAATGGCAAGAAATATTTTAAAAAACAACAATAACAGTAATATTCCATTATAATAGTATTGTTACTAATTATAGTCTAGTAATAAAAATAAGCAGTTAAAGGGTGCTTACATTATCTGTATCAATTTCTTTGATGATTTCATCTAAACAAACATCAGCAAAACCAAAATCTTTGCACGCCTGTTGAAGCTCATCGATAGTTATATAGCCACTGGCATCCTTGTCAAAGTATGAGAAAGCAGCAAGCAAATTCTCCTCTTTTTCCATCTTATTCAAGTGTAAAGTTGCAGCAAGAAATTCACCATAGTCAATACATCCATTGTTGTCAATGTCAGCCTGAGAAATTTGCCAGATCAAAATAATTTAACATACAAATGACCACACTTAGTTGGTTATGGAGTAATTGATTTGTACGAGTATATACACGAGGAATGAAGATTCAAGTACCGCATTCATCAGATCCCGAATTTCGGACTCCATCACCTCAGGCCCTACTCTTTTCAAACTATGTTTGAGTTCTTCAAATGTGATGGTCCCACTGCCATCCGTATCAATCATTTTGAACAATTGTCTTAGCCCTCCGATTTCTTCTTCTGAGAGTCTCTCTGCTATGACCTATGGACATCACATGATGAGCATAAGAAATCAGAGGATAAACCAATAAAATTTGTATTAGCACACTAAATCAAACTTCATAAGAATAAGTGCCTGCACTATATACAATAGCTGATATAAGGCTTATAAGCAATTTCAACACTTCAACAATGAAGGTTATTGCACATTTAGCTTCGTTTCCCCATCACTCTTTCTCAACTTCTCTCTGTGCTTTAGTACAGGGGTAAGACTGCGTACATCTGACCCCCCCCTTACCCCACCATAGGTGGGAGTCTTTGCGGCACTGGGGTAAATGAAAATGATGAAGATGAAAATGAAAATGATGAAAAGGAAACATAGTGACACCAAAACCATCCTTAGCTAATGTGAATTTTCACAGCATGTTTAGATTGCGAGGTTTTCAACATTAAGGGCATCAGTCAAAAATATTTCATTTTTGCCTCTTTACATAAATTTATAGTGATAATCAATTTTACACAATTTACTGGCTTTATAAATTTAATTCAAATGGCCCCAACTAGTTGGGGTTAATGTGCTAATAGTGATTATGATATGATGATGAATGGGTGGGAAAAAACAGCAAAGAGAGCAAAGTTTAAATAACAAAAAATGTGAGAGTGGTCAAATTTGAAATTGTACAAAATAGGTATAGCGTAAACATTTAATTTTTTCCCTTATCAAACCTCACATTAAGAACACAACACATCTAGAGGCATGATAAAAGACTAGCCCGATAAATAAATATAAAACAATACAGATTTTGGATCAAATAAAAACTATGGTTGATGTGAAAAATAAGAATGAATATGGTGCATTAGATTGGATATAAAAGGGCTCAGAAGAATCAGGAACAGAATTGATCAGAATGCTATGTCAGATATGTAAAATAAAAGTGTGTTTCCTGATGCCAAGTGCAGCTGCATGTAACCAATGGTGCAGACTTTTGTACCATGCACATTTTCACATTAAGAGTTGAGACTAATTTTAATTGGAATCACTTCCTCTATGTGTGTTGTATATAGACACACACAGGCCCAAGACAGATCCCTCCGAGGTAGGGTCTAAAGCTAATGTCAATTTAGCAGGAAAAAGATTTGGAAACATACATGCAACGCCATTTTTTTAAGTTTGTTCATGGCAGAAAATTGCTTAAGGCGTGTCAATACTGCTGAACCCAGAGGCCTGTCTGGTGCTACTGTGTCGTCCACAATCCATGGATGGCCTGATACAAATGCCACATTACATCCCGTAGCCTTTACTCACTTCTATGCAGATTGTCAAAACTAAAAGGTAGCATAGTTCAGTACAACGCATATATGTGGCTTAATTACATAAGACTTGATGTGCAGTTATTCGCTGCCTGGGGTCCCGCTGGAGCATCCTTTTTATCAAATCCTTTGCACTATCCGAAATGGAGGGCCAAGGTTCCGATTCAAAATCTATTTTACCTTTCATGATCTGCTTAAAGATACCATTGTCCGTTTCTGCACTATGAAGTTACAATTTCTAAATATCAAAGAAAGGTGCAAACTAATTGCCGATCAATCAATCGGTCAGCATTTGATCTTAAGGAATTCAACATTCTCATGAAAAGAGTTACCAGCCCAAAAAGGAGGAACCCCACATAATAAGATGTAAAGGATAACACCAGCACTCCATACATCGATCTCCGGTCCATAAAATTTGTGTAATACTTCAGGGGCAACATAGTACGGACTGCCCACCACATCAGAAAGATATTGACCTGAATAACAGAAGGGAAGAAGTGCTTTCAGCTGTGTTAGCATTCAGAGTATATCTACTGTGTTCAGAATTATGATTGCTACTAAAAGGAACATCTAGGTCACCGACCCTCTTGCTAAGCGTTTAATAAATTAATAAACATAATCATAAAGTGGTAGACTAGTTTACTGACCACACTTAAATTTGATGAATTTTTGGCATCTCATGACTTTTACCATTATTCCATAATTTCTACGAATTTCAACCTCCCCTTAATTTTCATGACGAACTTCACAAAGTAAAACACAAGGCCATTATTAGAAAAGTTGAACTAAAAATTAAAATACCACTGAAAGTGGTGATTTAAAAATTAAAAATTACCATTCAAAATTGAGTTCATACTTGAAGTGCAACTTTTTCTTACACATTGAATTCTTTTAATTGTACTCAAGTTATAAAATCTAAAAATACTTTCCAAAAAGAACTCTGTACTCCAAAAGAACTCTAAAATCCTAAAGCCTTCCATTTTTCTCTTAAAACAACCAAGGGTCATTGGAAAGTGTTTAAATAAACCAAAAAAGTAAAAATAAAACACAGAAACAGAAATGCCATTGAAATCAAAGAAAGAGAGGTGGAATGGGAGAACAGACCAGGCTTGTAGAACACAGACAGGCCAAAGTCGGTGGCTTTGAGCTTTGCATCCTCATCAGGAGTATCGAACAAGAAATTCTCAGGCTTAAGATCCCTATGCATGACACCGAGAGAATGACACCCCTCTACAACCCCAGCAATGGTCTTCATCAGCTCGGCCGCCTTCCGCTCGCTGAAATGCCCCTTAGAGACAATCCTGTCGAACAGCTCCCCGCCCCTGCAGACATCCATGACCAGATGCACGATTGCATCATCCTCGTACGTCCCTTTGATCCTCACAACGTGTGGGTTCTCAGACAAATGGTGCATAATCTGGATTTCCCTCCAAACGTCCTCGTAATCCTCCTTGCACAGAAGCTTCCTCTTTGGTATGGATTTGCAGGCGTATTCGAGCCCAGAGGCTTTCTCTGTGCAGAGGTAGGTTGTCCCAAACTGCCCGTGACCGAGCTTCTTCCCGAGGGTGTAATGGTCGTTGAGCGCGGGAGTCTGATAAGGCAGGATGTTCATGGGAGGCTTTGTGGATGCGGCTCTCCATGCCTTGGCTTTCTGCTCCGTCATCGTCGATTATGCTGTTTCTTGACTTTGGGATCGTCAGAAAAAACCTTTTCTCCCCGGTTATGTTGGCTGGTTGAAATGGGAGGTTTTGTTGTTTGGCGGGGAATGTGGAAGCCAGTTGGATGATTTCTACGCAATCCATTAATTTTAGTTGCTGACCTTTCTTTCATTGTTTGCTGTCACAGTTGCAGAGCGCAACTACGATGTTATGTACTTATGTACGAAGTACTACGTACTTTTTTTTTTGCAAGAATGTACTCCGTACTTATTATGTGGGATTTGTGGCAAATCTACCTATGCCATACACCGGATATTAAGAGCCCCTTTGGTAACACACGAAATACTGGTGAGTGAGTTAGATTCTGCTGAAATTTATGAAGTTTTTGTTAAAGTGATTGCATGACCGATTCTGCTGATTAAATAAAAAATTATTTTTAAAATACGTAGTATATTTTATTAATAAAGTATTGAAAAAACTATACGTAAAAATAGCTAAAATGGTTATCTACAGTAACTTCAACCTTACACAATATCAGCGTGCGAAAACAAAAGTTACGTGTTTGGTGAAAAAGTTGACTGATAAGTCTGATAAACTGGAAAACGGTGTTACCGAATGGCCTCTAAGTAGTGAGTATTTTGCTTCAAAAAAAGTAGTGAGTATTTCATATTGCAACTTGGTGTATGAACTTGTAAATGGCTTACGGTTTAAAAATACTCGTAAATGGCTTATAAACAATACGGAGTACTAGTTTTTACACGCGTGTTGCGCGACGTGGCAAATGCCCAATATTATATTTGGAATACGCCTTTATATGCCTGACTTTGAAATTCAATATAGGAAAAAATTAATGTGAAATTAGTGACAAAAAGACATAAACCTGCACAAAGTACCTCTTTAGCGGGTTGTGAGCGCTACAGTGCTAACATTTGATCTATCAAGTATACATACTTCATGAAATATTGTTAATTCCATAACAACGATGTATTCATCATTGAGTATGTATTATTTGATTTAACATAAAAAACCATACTAACAACTAACAGTCTAGATCCATACATTTAATATTGCTACAATCCGCTATACATCCAGACCATATCTTTTTTACTTTTTGAAATCAACAGGTGATATGCAATAGTGACTCATTTTTATCTATTTACATTTTGGCCTATTGGTTCCCTCTTTAGGTATACTAACCATAAAGTTATCAAAGCAGATAGATCTCGTCTAAAACAAACTAACCAGCTTACAACACACACATAAGAAAGACCTTGCATTACGAAATGAGAGGCACTGAGATCAACATCAGTCATCAAAATTGACAGTAAAAACATTAAGCAAGTAGTTCAACGTCATATTTTAAAATAAAGTTTTATGATTATTTGAATCAATGATACTATTTGGTATTATTGGAGTGTAGAAGTTTTAGGATTATATAATTCTAAATGGTATATCCATACTCAGATGATAAAATGATAGAAGTAATACATATTATAATGTTTATTACGTATTAGGGTATTAGTTCACACTCCGTTATTTATAATATCATTAGAACTTATAAGCAATGTATATAGCTAAGTGAGAGAAAAAATCTGGATTTTTTTTGCACCAGCAGAGCCTCAGCGGCGGGAATCTGGACGTCGGTGTCCGACGGCGGCAGTGGGCAGGGGTATTTTTGTCCAACAAAAATTCCTATTTTGAGAATTTTAAGGGAAAACTGTCATGAATTAGATTTTAAGGAAAACTATTTTTATAGCATGAAAACTATTTTGACAAATTCCTATGGATTTTGTCCGACTGCTCATCATGGTTGGCATGAAAACTATTTTTGCCTTTTGATCATGTTTTACTCGTAGATTAGGAATTAACTCCAAACCATTTTAATCAATAATAGCAATGAAATGAAAAAGAATGGAGTTAAAATAAATTAAACTATTTAACTTGATCTTTAATATAATGTTTTCCATGAAGAAGGCTCAACCAACCAAGTAATCAATACTTAGATTTTACGAAGTTAAAATTTTTCTTTATGAAGTCATGCCAAAATTTGCCCAACTCATATGTCAAACTAAGCGAAAAAGACACAATACGGGAGGGCAAAGGCAGAGCAAGTAAAAAGCTATAACTTGGGCACTCATTTCCAATTTCCAAGTCCAATTCATATTTAAGAGGTAAAATCCATATCGATGAATAAGACAAACTCAAAATGGATGAGTGAAGTAAAAATGATGTAAAAACTAAGACAAGGCAATGCATCTGGACAGGTGGGAGGGGGGCAAAAGTTAGTTAAGAAAAATAGCAATACATCAAACACCTTATCGGCATAATTTACACACACCTATCAATTTATCATAAATCTTCACTCTAGGGGAAACTAATTCAGATCAGAAGAAAGTAAAAAAAAAAACAGATGACATGTGGTGAAGTTAAAACAAATTTTGCAATCATACATAATAAGGGAGAAGGGCCAAAAATGACATTATGATTTTTAATGAATCTCGGATAGGACACTAAGGTTTAAAATGGACCAAAAAAACACAAATTAAAACCTTTGCTTTTACTTTTAGCCACCCTCTAACCCTCCCGTCCAACCGCCATTTCCCCCAAATAAAACGCCCCTTTCTTCCCTGTGTTTAAACACAGAACCCCCAACGCCTGAAGGAGGTCTGAATTTTTTTGGGAGCTTCTCTCTCTACGAATTACAGTCCTAGCAATTTGGCCAACAACGTTCAGTTTAGAACTTAGACCTTCTTAAATTTGGATAGTGAAATTTGGAGGGGGTGTAGGGGCAAATTTGATTTATTAGTGTTGGATCAGAAAATAAAAATCTGTTTAATTAAATGACGTGTTTCTATGTAATTTCTCAATTTAACCCTCATCCAACTACGAAGTATATGCAATTGGCTAGTCCTCAAGTGATCAGAGTTAGACGTGAACAACTTGGTTTCAGTTTCATTGTTGTTCTTCACCAGAATTCCTCCTCTGAATTCTGAATCAGTGAAGCCTGGGTATTCGATGAATAAAAAGCTATAACTTGGGCACTCATTTCCAATTTCCAAGTCCAATTCATATTTAAGAGGTAAAATCCATATCGATGAATAAGACAAACTCAAAATGGATGAGTGAAGTAAAAATGATGTAAAAACTAAGACAAGGCAATGCATCTGGACAGGTGGGAGGGGGCAAAAGTTAGTTAAGAAAAATAGCAATACATCAAACACCTTATCGGCATAATTTACACACACCTATCAATTTATCATAAATCTTCACTCTAGGGGAAACTAATTCAGATCAGAAGAAAGTAAAAAAAAAAAAAACAGATGACATGTGGTGAAGTTAAAACAAATTTTGCAATCATACATAATAAGGGAGAAGGGCCAAAAATGACATTATGATTTTTAATGAATCTCGGATAGGACACTAAGGTTTAAAATGGACCAAAAAAACACAAATTAAAACCTTTGCTTTTACTTTTAGCCACCCTCTAACCCTCCCGTCCAACCGCCATTTCCCCCAAATAAAACGCCCCTTTCTTCCCTGTGTTTAAACACAGAACCCCCAACGCCTGAAGGAGGTCTGAATTTTTTTGGGAGCTTCTCTCTCTACGAATTACAGTCCTAGCAATTTGGCCAACAACGTTCAGTTTAGAACTTAGACCTTCTTAAATTTGGATAGTGAAATTTGGAGGGGGTGTAGGGGCAAATTTGATTTATTAGTGTTGGATCAGAAAATAAAAATCTGTTTAATTAAATGACGTGTTTCTATGTAATTTCTCAATTTAACCCTCATCCAACTACGAAGTATATGCAATTGGCTAGTCCTCAAGTGATCAGAGTTAGACGTGAACAACTTGGTTTCAGTTTCATTGTTGTTCTTCACCAGAATTCCTCCTCTGAATTCTGAATCAGTGAAGCCTGGGTATTCGATGAATAAAAAGCTATAACTTGGGCACTCATTTCCAATTTCCAAGTCCAATTCATATTTAAGAGGTAAAATCCATATCGATGAATAAGACAAACTCAAAATGGATGAGTGAAGTAAAAATGATGTAAAAACTAAGACAAGGCAATGCATCTGGACAGGTGGGAGGGGGGCAAAAGTTAGTTAAGAAAAATAGCAATACATCAAACACCTTATCGGCATAATTTACACACACCTATCAATTTATCATAAATCTTCACTCTAGGGGAAACTAATTCAGATCAGAAGAAAGTAAAAAAAAAAAAAAAACAGATGACATGTGGTGAAGTTAAAACAAATTTTGCAATCATACATAATAAGGGAGAAGGGCCAAAAATGACATTATGATTTTTAATGAATCTCGGATAGGACACTAAGGTTTAAAATGGACCAAAAAAACACAAATTAAAACCTTTGCTTTTACTTTTAGCCACCCTCTAACCCTCCCGTCCAACCGCCATTTCCCCCAAATAAAACGCCCCTTTCTTCCCTGTGTTTAAACACAGAACCCCCAACGCCTGAAGGAGGTCTGAATTTTTTTGGGAGCTTCTCTCTCTACGAATTACAGTCCTAGCAATTTGGCCAACAACGTTCAGTTTAGAACTTAGACCTTCTTAAATTTGGATAGTGAAATTTGGAGGGGGTGTAGGGGCAAATTTGATTTATTAGTGTTGGATCAGAAAATAAAAATCTGTTTAATTAAATGACGTGTTTCTATGTAATTTCTCAATTTAACCCTCATCCAACTACGAAGTATATGCAATTGGCTAGTCCTCAAGTGATCAGAGTTAGACGTGAACAACTTGGTTTCAGTTTCATTGTTGTTCTTCACCAGAATTCCTCCTCTGAATTCTGAATCAGTGAAGCCTGGGTATTCGATGAATAAAAAGCTATAACTTGGGCACTCATTTCCAATTTCCAAGTCCAATTCATATTTAAGAGGTAAAATCCATATCGATGAATAAGACAAACTCAAAATGGATGAGTGAAGTAAAAATGATGTAAAAACTAAGACAAGGCAATGCATCTGGACAGGTGGGAGGGGGGCAAAAGTTAGTTAAGAAAAATAGCAATACATCAAACACCTTATCGGCATAATTTACACACACCTATCAATTTATCATAAATCTTCACTCTAGGGGAAACTAATTCAGATCAGAAGAAAGTAAAAAAAAAAAAAACAGATGACATGTGGTGAAGTTAAAACAAATTT